GCAACTGTGTCTGAACGTTTTTACGGCAAAAAAGACAACAACAACAATGATAATGTTGTTTCAGACTCAAACGCATTTTGGTGTAGCTTCAAAAATAATTTACCTCTAAAGACATATATATAGAGAACGCATTTTTATCATCATCAAAAACAAACACTTTCTCGATGCATACAATATGAAAATATTGGCATTTCATGCAGTTAACTTACAATTACAAATATTGACTTTTACAAAGATGGTTATGCTTATGACTACAATATATACAGAGATTCGAAAACATTTTTTTAGGAAAGAAAAATAATGAAGCCAGAGACGTACACTGCACTGGCTGGAGTTCACCACGGCGTTTACCCACAAATGTATCGGTGTACTTTTATAATGGTCATTTTTGCTTGCACGTCAAATAGCTAAACTAATTAACGAAGGCGTTAATTCATCGGTAATTCACTTGGAAAATTGGTCCGTTACTTTCCAATCGTACAATTCAATTTCCAAAGATAGATTGATCTTGAGCAGCAAAACACGATCGCACGTAGGAAATACGCTCCAATTGACCTCCTATTGCATAATTTGACGTGCTCTTGATTGGGTGCTTATATGCTTACATGAAAAATGAGAAAATGTGAATCGTTCTGCCTTCACGTAACCAAGGATTATAGCAAGACAGCCGCGTGGTGGCTTATGGGCCCGGAGGGGAAACACGTGTGCTGATGGACGTTGGGAGCTCGTAACCACAGATGATGAAAGCATCGGCTACAATTCTCGGGGGTGAAATTTAGAAAGCGCTGCGGAGAGGCGCTGTGTGTAGCCTTCTTGGTTCCGCCAAAGTGTTTGCCCACTGGAGAGGCCATCGACATGCCGACAACACGCAAACACAACCAGAGGACATCACACACGGGAGAAGCCATCGGCACGCCGTTCTCCATACACACCAGCTGTGAATGTGTCAGAGTAAATTAACTATGCACGCGTGACTGCTAACTCACGCGTGCTATAATGTCACCTCTTTTGAGATATATTTAGGATTGCATCGTGTTGCATGTGCTTGCTCTTTTTAAGATGTGAAGTTGTTTTAAAACATTGTAATTTAATGTTCTCATGTCTTCTTTTTTTTTTTTTAAACTGTACATCAGGTATCATGTCCATATAACATACTTTGTAAAAAAACTGTTTGCGTAGATCTGTTAGCACAAAATTTAATTTAGAAAGAGCCTCTGTGCGACTGGAAAGAAAGCCAGCAAGCTTGCCTGCCCGATCACTACTTTAAGCCTGCCAAGATGTTCGTTCAACAATGTCGTGCAAGGAACCAAACTCAATTACAAAACAGACGCACAGTGGGACCGCTTAATTAAAACCCGTGTGCTGCTATTGTTGTTGTTGTGGCCTTGTTGTTAGATTTCCTTAACGTTTTAAACCGACTTGAGCGTGCTTAATTTATCTGACCCGCTTGCAGACGCTCATTTACAAACGACCTTTCTCTGCGCACGGCTTGACTTTCAAGAGTGGGGTGGTGGTGGTGGGGGGTTTACATTTTTAGCGTGAAATCAAATCCGCACCGTCAAGACGGCGAACTCTATATTGGTCCTGCGTACTTACATGGGGCTAGCCACTGATCCTGCTGTGACAGCCAAAATGAAGCATTCCTTCATAGTCATCAACTCTTGGGTGACTGACGCGAGAAGCAGCTGGTTCATAATCACCCTACAGTATTACTTAACGCCATTCACAGCAATTTTTTTTAAAATGTCTTCTGCAAGCGAAACGCTCAAATTACTACTGCACATTGCCATTCCAGTAAACGCAGTGCACCTTCACGAGCCACTCTTCCCTCGACTGCAACAACTTAAGCGCGCTCCGTGATGGTAGGTTGTCTGCTGCCTTTGAAAGCTATAAACTTGAATTATGTTTAGAGTTATTGTTTTTTATATGCGAAAGTGTCGTAAATTTGTTCAAATGTGTTTTTTTTATAACCTATGTAAAAATGTCATGAAAAGTGGGGACTGTATTTATGTATTTACACGAAGCATCAAGGAATGCAAATGCCCACGTTGTTTCAAGCCGCGCAGATATATTCAATATTTTTCGAATTTAGATATATTCGCATTTGTTTTGCATAATAAGTTCAAGCTTCGCGGACAGTGGTTATGTTTAACTTTAGTTTTCGCATTTAAATCCATGTATTGTGTTACGTAGTTTTTGCTTCATGAGTTACAAATCTTGATACAAATGTGAAAATGCACAAAGGTATGATATATATAAACAGTCAAATGATCTGCAATCATTGTGACCTCACGTGGCACCCACTATGCGTGCATAAATCACATTTCGAACGTCTTCTCCAAGGTAAAACACAATGGACCGATGAACTTAATTGTCTGCATCAGTGTTCTCTTATGTAACATGTTGAAACGCGTTATGTGGATGTTGTAACAGCTGGGGAGCTACGTTGTAAACAGCAGAGGGCAGTGCAACAAAATCCACGGTAGCTCTGTAATTCGATTCCCCCCACCTTCACCCCGCACTGACCAGCGTGGTGAAGTATGACCAAATATTTACCATAACCAGAAAAACGTGTTTAGGGCCTTCACCCAAGCAGTAGGTTCACAAACTGGTTGTACATGCACATCGTACATAAACTACCTTCATTGTACTTACGTTTATATATATGGTTGTAAAACAGAGACGTTAACTTTGTTACAAGCATGCAAAAACAGCAAGGCACATTAAACGAATATGAGTTGTAACAAAATTTTAATAAATGGGTTTGAAATATTTCAGAGTTGATATTAACACTGTGTGTCATGCCATATGGAGTCTGGAGCGGTATTTCATTAAAAACAAACATGTGACTATAAAATAAAACACTGAACAAACGTTTTGAAAATATGAAATTTCACCGTGACCGAAAGCTCAATGAAAAGAGATGGAAAACATTGGAATGGGGTTGCTGTGCTTGGATAATAAACTAAAATCTAATTTCTCCTCGGTCTGAGCTGATGGCAACCTGATGGCACACTTGCACATGGAACGGCTCATGCCACAGCCAAAGCCATCATTTAACTCTGTCACCCAGCAACTGATTCAAAACATATTTAATTTCCCACGGGCATAGGTCGGGCTGTATTGAGACTGATGCTCACAAGAGGAATGGTTAAACGTATTACACATTTTTACGTGCGTTTTAAGCACATTGCTTGGGACTGCATTAAAAATCTATATTTTATAGTGGAACAAGACTTTCAATAAAACTCAAGGATAGTGCCGTATAAGTAACAGGCGAATACCTATTTATATACTCTGCTCAATTGAGTAAATTCCTCAACAGAAATCATCGCTTAAATTTACTGGTAAATACAGCCGGATTTCATTGCGGTGCACATTTCCAGGTGCAATATGTCCCACGTGACCGCCGGGATCTTGAAACTGACCCACATTACTTGGAATGCGAAGATGTTCACGTGAGATTAATGATGTTGATCGATATAGATCTGACGTTAAAATTAACCTGCAGCCACATGACCTGCGTGCAACCGAAGGAGGTTGAAACAACCTTCAGCCCATTTGGCTCAATCATCCGTCTTGATGGCCATGATGGCACATTTACAAACGCCCAAAATACACACTTTGGAATTTTATTTCCTGTGGCTACTCCAGTCCTCTAACCGATTGCAATTTACCATCCTCTACTCTCGTTAGGTTTGTCAAATAATAAAATAGCACCTGTGCCCCACTACCTCACCACAGCAATTATAGTCAGAGCATTTTTAATAAGGGAAATATATTTGAAACTTAATAACCTGCAACATTTTCCTTTTATTTATGAAACCATTGTACTTGGTTACTTTCTTCAGATGGAATATCTCATTTGCAAGTGTACAGGGTGTCAAGTGATACACTTGTCTCAAAATATAGAAATATTACATATAACCATAAGTATATTACATATTGTAGTACATTAATTTTGCACATGTTTCATTTAACCTCTTCAAAAACTTTAATAACATTTCTATCATGATAAATACAGGTGCTATCATTGTTTGGGGGAATTTGAATGATGTGGTATTGGGATTATATCTCGCAAACCCGCATAAAAGTGTGCGTGAGTGGGTAAACGAGAGAAATGAGGTGTCAATTCAGCACACTTAGAGTATGCATGTGTACACTCCCTTCTTGTCCACATTTTAGTGGCAATTAAAAGCTTACGGAGCAAGTGGTGTGGTCCCAACAGATCTGGTTTTGTCTCTGATATTCTGTCCACTGTCCAACATTATCTGGCCCTTAAAGTTTAATAAGATGGTGGACAATTTATGACTTCTAAGTGTTTATTAATGCTCCCATGTTGTAGGTGTAAATTAATTTTGTTGTTTGCCTTAAAATACAATGGCAAACAGGATGTTAAATTATAATTACGGAGTGACTTTTAATTTATTGGTGGAGACTGACAACTCCATCGTGGGTATGCAGTATCTATGCAGAATTCTCTGATAATTTGGTAAAAAGTGATATTATTGCGACGGAGTGGTCGCAGATGTAACAATGACCGCCAGTGCAATCGTGCGCATCAGGGAGATTACAGCCTAACGCTGTGTAGTGTTCGAGGGAAGAGGGAATATGTGCACCATCTGCACCACTGGCATGCACTTATTACGGTGAACGTTCACCCCCATCGTTTCGTGACAAGGGTCAAAGCGAAAGCCTCTGCCGCCCTCTAGCGCTCGAGACTGCCCAGAGCTGCTGAATAGTTAACCTGCAGATGACGACTCGTACTTGCAGAAGCTCGAAGAAAATAACGATGCAGACCCAACACACAATAGTGACTGGCATATATCGATAAACTCACGCCACGCGGTTTGTCGCACGTGACATAAGCTTATTTCCATATCGTGTCGAGTATTGACGTAACTGCGGATGAGCGTGGAGTCCGGCAAAAAAAAATGTGTGAATGCGTCACTTTAAAAAAAATAACAACGACTGAGACAAGAAGGCACTTAACACCAAGGCAGTTTCATTAGTTTCTTTTATTTTTTAATGCACTTTACATACATTAGATGTGTAGATCCTAAGCAGCAGTAAAGTCAATCGCTGTATTGTACAGCGAATTGCTCTACGGTAGTTCGATACCTTTGGCATTACTCGGCTTCAGCCTGCAAGGGAACAAAAGTGGAAATAGAGTCAGACTTACAGCTGCCTTGCATATTCAGTGACAAGTGCTTCGACATTTCCACCCAAAGCGAATAAGTGATTGCGTCAGCTGGTGCAGCTGGACTTTTAGGCACGCAACAGAGTGATGGTGAGTCTGCGTTTCGGCGATCGCATAGCAATCGCAGGAGGATTTATCCACAACTCTGGATGTCGCCTGATGATGCTGCTTGTTGTAATTACCGGCGAAAGGTCACGGTACTCGAATTGTAAATGTTGTTGTGGGTTTACTCTCCAACACACAACCGGTGTGCTGAACTAGTAACTAATTTGCGTTTTTTGTCATAACTAAGGTTTTTTTTGGGTTAGATCGCGTAAGTATAAACGTGTTGTTAACCCACCACCACCCGACACAGCCAATTAGTAACAAAACGTGGCCAATTAGTTACTACTTCAGCCCACCACCGGTGTGTTGGAGAGTAAATCTACAACATTTACAATTTTGATTTGTGTACGTGACAAACCTTACTAATTGGCTCAAACGAGTGGTGGCTGATTTGACAACACATTTATACTTACGCGATCTAACCCAAAAACAACTATTTCGGCAAGCTATTACAATTGTTGTTAATGAGAAAACAAGAGCATAGGTTGGAGAATTTTCAAAGAAAGTCCGGATAGGGTTTGTATAGGCATTTGATCGTAATCTCCAGGGGATGGCTGAGCCCCCTCCCCATCAAGGCCCAGGGCCCCCCTTCTAAATACATATCCTGTCGCCAAGTCTAAACAACGTCGGTGCAACATTCACGCGGCGGCCAGGAGCTAGAGCGAAACAGATGGTGGACAAAACCAGGCCACGTTCCGTTGCTCATTCTGTTCGGCGTTTAACGTGTTCAAAGTTTCCCGTAGCGTTGGCTGTCACGCTTTCTCCCCGAGGCCCCTTTCGACAAGGTCATGCTGACACCGGTTTATGATCTCCGCTCGTGTCCTCGGTTCAGAACCGACATTCGACGTTCGCCTAACGGACGTGGGCTGCGCCGCGGTGGATGATGCTGTAGCAGGGCACCTCGCGTTCGTGACCTCGTGACCTTTTTTAGTGATTGTCTTTAACCTTTCCTACACTTTTCACTCCTTTCGTTTTTTTGGGAGGGGGGGGTGACCGGGGGGTTAGCATTGTTTGACATCGTAACTTTCTGACCCCTCCATGGGCCCTCCCCTTACTGGACATCTGTGAAAAAAGAGCTTTGTAGCATCATCGGATTCCTCCTCCAAGTCTAAAAAAGATTCTAAAGCTCCGATTGAGCTAAGTTACCTTGGTTGGGTGCACGTCCCGGGAGCGGGCGCGCAGCTTGTTGACCTGAGACTCGGCGATGTCCGCACGCTCGTCGGCCTCCTCCAACTCGTGCTGCATCTTGCGGTACTTAGACAGGTTGGTGTTGGCCTGCTCCTCCTGTGGGCACGGGGGGAACAGCGACGCGAATCAGAACAGCCTGCGGCGGCGGATCGTCGCCGCGAGGGCCACCGCGTCGCACGCTTTGAGATGCGATGCGCACGACACTACACTCTATTATACACCTCACTATACACTATTCTATCCGATACAAAACACTACACCATACACTACACTTTTGGCTAAACATCGAACAAAGACGGTGACCGCATCGCGCGCTTTGAGATGCGCTTCTGCGGCCGTCTGGAACGCTCTCCCTTCTGGTGTTAGGAAGCCTCTGGGAATTATGCGCTTTTAAATCGAGATTTAAAAACGTATTTCTTCAGAACTGCGTTTTGTGTTTAGTTTCTTGTTCTTCCTCTGCACCTCCGATTAGCACACTTGGCTACGTACGGTGCGAAAGGAGTTCAACGTACGGTACATACATGCACCGTGCCTTCCCATGCAGGTACATCGCTCTGCGGCAGGGGACCCCGACTGGCAGCTGTCCCTGCCCGGGCACAGGGTGAACGCAGCACCCACCCGACAAATGGGCGTTGGTCTGCCAGCAGGGGACGACGTTGACACGTGGCTTTAACCCAATTGGGTAAATCCGGAGCCATCGAACACGAATGCCAATCTCAGGCGCACGTGGCCTACCCATTTCAGAATGACGTCACGGGTTCCGCGATCCGTAACGCCCAGTGCGAAGCAGACGGCGTGGCGGTATTGACCAGGGTGGCCGCCGGGCTTGAACCGAGAAGCTCGGCCTCGACGAACGCGCTACCCAGCTGGGCCGCCTTCACCGTGCCGAAGTCACCCGCGTAACGCGCGCGGGCAACGCTTAGCCTGCGGCCGCAGAGCACCTGCTCAAGGCGAACAGCACGAGAAACGGATGCTTACCGCTTCCTCCGACTGCCTCTTGTAAGTCTTCACTTTGAGCTGCAGCTTGTCGACCAGATCCTGGAGTCGCAGGTTGTTCTTCCTGTCTTCCTCGGCCTGTCAAGGGAACGTCACTCTGATTAGTTCACCATTTACAGAGATCTCTGAATTGATCCGTTTTGCATCTTTACTGGGAGTGATAACCCGCTGTTCTCCAACGGGAAATCGGTTGCAGCTGTCAATGTCATTCTCAGTTTAACACGTAGGCTTTCGCGACCAACATCATCCAGAATAACCTACATCATGAATGTCACTCTCTTCTCGCAATCCTCCTGTGATTCGGACTCACTAAAACTAATCTGCTTTTTTATGTAATAATAAAATGGCAAGATAATATGTACTGTGTGGGATTTCTTTTTCAATATTTCTCCACGATCTAAAGAATATTCTGGAGAAAGAAGCACAATCGGATCGCAAACTTAAAAGTTGGAGCGATTTTAAAGGAACCGTGTCACTTTTCTACTCCTACCTCTTCGGTGTGTCGCTACCTAATACTGTCTTCCAAATTTCTTCCCCCGTTTCAAGTCAATAAAAATTTTAAAAATTTACACTGAAAATCCCGTGTAGCCAGCTACCCAGCTAGTTTTTTGGTGGAAACGGCCCCGCAGCCACTAATAACAGAGTTAGTGTTGGGGTGGACAGAAGCCCAGTCAGCAGCCAGCCGTCGAGTTTTTTTCCACCATAGTTAAAAATCAACATTATTATTGTAACACAGTAATTATTTGAATCTTTCGTAAATAAATGAGTTGTTCCATCAGAAAAATGGAACCCGTTTGAATGGACATTTTTCGATACACGAGGACCATTCGTAAAAATGCTGTGTTGCCTTTTGGCGAGAAATACATCACGTTACCTGGTAAGTCAGCTCCTTGACTCTGCGCTCGTACTTGCGAGCTCCCTTGATGGTCTCGGCGATGCGTCTCTGTTCGGAATCCAGCTCGGACTCCAGCTCACGCACCTTAACAGCCAGAGGAGACAACATGGCTGCGTTAACACGGACGCACGCATCGGAAGGGGGTCAAACTTAGGGCCCCGGTGGGTTAATGCACCGAACCAATCTTGCGTTGTCCGGTGCAATCGTCACCCACCCTGGTCTCGAGCTTCTGGATCTGCTTCTTGCCACCCTTCATCGCGATCTGTTCGGCCTCGTCCAGCCTGTTCTGCAGATCCTTCACCGTCTGCTCCATGTTCTTCTTCATCCTCTCGAGATGAGCGCTCGTATCCTGCTCCTTCTTCAGCTCCTCTGCCATCATGGCGGCCTGGACAATCGGACGACAATCCGTCACGTCGCGACTTACGGAGAGGCCACACGGTGTGGAAAACGTTATTTCTCTCTTTTTTGCGTTTCGAGGTAATTGCCACGACACAAATGTACGTTTGGAAATTTCGGACGTTATAAATTACACTGGACAACACACTTTTTCTGGCATAAGGTATTCCAACGGGTTTAAGGTAATTTTGGGGTGCTGATTCCAAATCTGGCATCAGTTTTTGTCTATCACATCAGGTTTTTGAGATATCAAATATTGCATTTTCAATAAAAACTTCAGAAGAAAAATATTAAATAAATGTGGATATCTACATAAAATGATATTATAAACACACTATCCTAAAAATACAGCACCATATTTTAACACTAAAGCAGTCACTGACTCGCAACAACTTGCACTCATAAGTGACGGAGTTAATTTCGGGTAAAATCAATGAAAATGGGGTATGCCGATAGCATAAAACGAGATGTGATAGAGCAAATCTGAGATCAGATTTGGAATCAGCACCCTGAAATTAGTCTAAAACAGCTGCAAAAGTCCAGGCCAGAATTTTTTTTTTGTTGACCAGTCTTATTAAGGTTACGTGGAACTTGTAGTCGATCATGCGGTGATGCGCGGTGACGTGTATTGTTGTTGTGGGTGTCATTCTGGAGAGGACCACAAGCACAGCTGTCTTACATCAGTGATGGCCTTCTTTGCTTTTTCATCAGCATTGCGGCTCTCCTGAATGGCTTCCTCGCACTCGTTCTGCAACTGGACGATGTCTCCCTCGAGCTTCCTCTTGGTGTTGATCAAGCTGGTATTCTGTGAAGAAGAAAAAAACAATTATACAAATTGTAAATGTTGTGGTTTCACGCTTCAACACACCGGTGGGCTAAAGCAGTGAACTATTTATCCTTTGTCAACGTGACACTTTTTTACTGATTGGACGTGTCGGGTGGTGGAGGGTTACGACACATTTATAAATAACGCGATCTAAACCCAAAAACGTTGATTATGAATTATACACGGGCAGGTACGGTCACGTGGTTAAAGATTGCACCGCAAAGCTAACGGGATGCCTTTACATTTACGCGTAATTAATTAATTAACAAACAAATCCGTGCCTACCTACTGTATATATGCCCAAACAGAACAGTGGTATAACATGTTATACACACGCATTACTGTGAGGGATGTTGCCACGGTATAATGGTGAGCGCATGCAGGGGTCGCAGGTTCAATTCCTTGGCGCAGCAATTGACCTTTAAAGCCCCCGAACCCCGTACCACCCAGGGTTAGTCGATCGGCAGATCGCCTGTGGTGGAGCTACTCCACCCCCACCTCGTCCAAGACATCCGGCCAGGATGTCAGAGCAGGCAAATAAAATCGCCTCTTAGCAGGGCACCCTCTCGAGATCCCACCCTGGAGAAAACCTCCTTCCCGTCTGCAGCAGCGCTGCGAGAAATCGATCTCGGGACGGTTTTTGTCTTTTTATCCGCCCTCCTTACAGTTCCTGTCCACAAGCACCTGGGAATGCAGCAGCTGCACCCTCTCGGTGGCGCCCAGCAACTCCTGCTCGGCCACCTTCCTGGCCCTCTCCGTTTGCTCCAGGGCGGTGCGCATCTCCTCCACCTCGGCCAGCAGCAGGTTGTTGCGCCGCTCGATCATCGCCACCTGCTCCTTGAGGTCGTCGTTGCTGCGCAGGGTGTCGTCCAGGTGCACTTGCAGGTCCTGGCGGATTCAAAAGGCGTCTTAACGGGGGCGCTCGTGCGTGGCGTTACAGCACTGTTACGCCGGCGGGGACTAAGACTGCGGCGGAAACAATCGACGGTCGATGAGTTTCAACTGTCCCCGCGTGTGTTGTTTTTTTTCTTTCGGGAATTGCGTCTGACGTTTTGCACCCACCTGCTGGGAGCTCGCCGTTGCCAAAGAAGCAGCGCGAAACGTCAGACAATCGCGCCCAAACACCACTCGGCACAACCGTAACACGCGCCGGAGAGAGAGGGTGCGCTGCGTGTAATTTTTTAGCCCATCCCGAGATTTGTGCTGAGTGCTGGACAGCTCCCCCACCGTCCCCCTCGTCGTTGTTTTCTGTCACCCCTCCTCTGACACCCCCCGGCACGTTATGCCGGACTTGTGTGCGTGCCTCTATAACGTTGTACACACAGCGTGGCCACGGATACCCACGCAGTAGCAATCGCGGAGCATTACCTTGATCTGTCCCTGCACGTTGCGCAGGTGCTTCTGAGACTCGGCCGCCTGCCTGTTGGCGTGGTTGAGCTGGATTTCCATCTCGTTGAGGTCTCCCTCCATCTTCTTCTTCAGCCTGAGGGCCTCGTTCCTGCTCTTGGTCTCCGCGTCCAGCGAGGCCTGCATGGACTCCACGGTGCGCTGGTTCGACCTCTTGAGCTGGTCGAGTTCTTCGTCTTTCTCGGCGATCTTCCTGTCAATGTCTGCCTTCACCTGGTTCAGCTCGAGCTGGATACGAAGAATCTTTCCTTCTTCGTGCTCAAGAGACGCCTTTGAGAAACAAAACATGAAGAAAATGCATTAATGACCCTTCGCAATCAAAGGACTTTACCGACTGGTGATTGGAAAAGCACGTCAGCTGGGTTCACTTCAAGTCCCCCCGTTTCTACCGGAGCATTTACCTCTGCCTCCTCGAGAGCTGCTTGGATTTCAAGTTTCTCTTGTTCAAGCTGCTTACGGCTCTTCTCCACCTCGTGCAGGGCCTTTCCGCTCTCGCCAAGCTGCTCCGTGAGGTCCGAAATCTCCTCTGGAACGAAAGATGGAAACGCAAAATGAAGCATCTCATTGGTCCACTCTTGTGTCTAACAGCGACATCTGTTTTCGCCCACTGTGCACGGGAACGTTTTGTCACATTTGCATTACCCTGCAGGTTCTTGTTTTCTCTCTTCAGTGTCTCCAGATGATCCAACGTTTCCTCGTAGGCATTTTTAAGCTTGAAGACCTCTGTGCTGAGCGATCTCGATTCCTTCTGAGACGCTTCCAACTCGGACTGGCTCTCCTCATACTTCTGCTTCCATTCTGACAGAATCTGTCGCGGTTTGAAAGAAAATATTCACATCGGTTAATTACGCAATTAGGCCAACCATCGAACAAAGGCGGTCACCGCATCGCGATCTTTCAGATGCACTTCTGCGGCCGTTTGGAATGCTCTTACTTCCGATATTAGGAAGCCACTTTGAGCTATGCATTTTCAATATAGATTGAAAAGTCACTTCTTTAGAACTGCTATTTCTCTTTAGTTTGTTGCCTTTCCTCCACACCTCCAATTAGCACGGTTTGCTACGTACGGTGCAAAGGAAGTTCAACATCACAACAACCGCCATTCACCACTAACTGGCGGTGACATCACCACGGCGCTTGTGCCAAGCTATGTGCACTTTAAGGCCACGTGAACTGTCGAACGCCCGCTGGCAAGAGGTCACGGGACAGACCAAGGTGGTGCCATGGGTCGACTGACCGAGATGACTGGCCGATGCAACACCTGCGCCCCCCTACTGTGCCAACTCGCTCTGCGATCTGCCTGCCCGGCGTGCACATGCGGACTCTTCTTCATCAGCAGCAATACGCGACACGTGCCGCTGGGGTTGGGGTCAGGGGCCATTACCTTGTCGAAGGCCTTCTGCTTCTTGTCAAGAGCAGCAGCAGCTGAGTGGGCCCTCTCCACATCGATCATGAGGTCCTCCACTTCACCCAGCAGACGCTGCTTGGTCTTCTCGAGGGAGGCGCACTTGGAGTTTGAAGCCTCGACTTGCTCCTCCGCCTCCTGGAGACGGGCGGCCAGCTTCTTCCTTCACGGTCGGCACAAGAGGACACCGTCAGGTTCGCGTCGACGAGAACGACGTTGTCATTTAGCCGCGCCCCGGTATTTGCGCTGCTCCCGTAGTGAGCAAGGCTCTTGCAAAGGTAACGCGAGCACGTTGTAAAACAAGACCTGTTTTAGTCCCAGCCCTTGTGTCACTCCACCGCCGGATGAGGGCCTCACCATTACGCCCGTGCAGATTGTGAAGAGTATTTGACCACATCACACTACGCCGGTTGGTGCAGGCTGTTGAAGGTGTCGTTGGTGGTGTAGAAGTACGACAATGCGTTCAAATGTGAAGTGACTACTCACTTGGCTTCCTCCAGCTCCTCGGTCTTCTGGATGGCGTCGGTCTCGTACTTGGTCCTCCACTGGGCCACCTCGGCGTTGGCCTTGGACATGGCCCTCTGCAACTCGCCCTTGGCCTCCTGTTCCTCGTCGAACTGCTCGCGGAGGAGGTCGCAGTCGTGCCTTGCCGACTGCACGGCGTGGGCCAGGGCGTTCTTGGCCTGCACGGTCGCAGAGACGCGGCTCGTGAGCTCGCTCCGTAGGGCGCAATGGCAGTGCAATGGCGGCGTGTCCAGGTCAACGTCAATGCTCGTCTCTTACCATGTCGATCCGTGTCGAAGCATTGAAATTTAAATGTCAGCTCTGCGCACCCATTTCTTTCATCGAAGGCAGACACTTTGCTTATGCTGCCGCTGCAGTATTTTGTCTTTGGTGCCAGCACCTGCTCTTTGTTTTTGTTGACGTAATATTTGCTGCCATTATCGTAACTGTGAGCACACTGGACTTGTGCTCGGGAGGTCACCATCCAGTTCAATCTCCAGGCGCGGCGGTTGACAAAATGGGGCAAGCATCGTAAAATTTCCCCGGCCTCTAAATCACCCCGATTAGCGCAGTTGGCTATACGTACTGTGCGAAAGAAGTTTAATCGTTCATCTATACCTACAGCAGTGCAAGTGCGGGTACGCCACATTTGTGGGTACGGTTATGGGTTATCCCAGCTACCCCAAGATCAGTGTAGGCCACATACTCCCTAGATCTCTCTATTTTGGAGGTCCTTCTGCCGGCCAGTGGCACGAGCAAGAAATGACAGGGCTACACCTTTTACCTTGCATCACATGTCAATTAAACATCTCCTTGCCCGAGAGGCAGCTGTTTCACGCACCTTAATCTCCTCTTCCAGTTGCCTCTTGAGGTCTTCCACCTGCTGTGTGTAGGACAGCTTCCCTCGGGAAAGCTGCACCACAAGAACTTCCTTCTCTTCCAATTTTCTTGAAAGCTCGCCTGTGATAAAATGCACAGACGCAAACTTGTGAAGCGAATCTTTTTGTTTTCACGCACCGTGTTTGGCATTATCGTCGCTAAATTTCTACGAGTGCTGGCAACTAACAAAACGTAATTGCCTTTTTCATCAACGTTTTGAGATTACTATGGTACGCAGTGTTGGCATGCCCTGCATAAAGCCAGGCAATGCGCAAAGGAACATATCTGTAAACTGAGTTTTGAAATGTCGGTAGAGTGAAATTGAAACATTATCAGCTGGAGGGTAAAGGAAAACGAATGAGTCGGTACTTTGACAAATTCAGGAAGGAGGAAATCAAGACTCTTAAAGGAAGGCGGCGTAAACTTGATGTGGCACATTGTCAGACAGCAAAGCCTTGCTGAAGCAAGCTCTAGAGTGGAGGATGCTGGGTAAAATAACTAGAGACCGAAAAGAAGGGGCTACAGGTCGACTTGAACAACAGAAAGGAATATTCGTGAACGGAAGAGGAAGGATGATGTTGGACTCTAAGGAGAAGGCTTGAGCCAAGAACCTGCCTTTAGACAGAGGGGAGACAAATATGCATACCGTTTTCCGCCAGCAGTCGAGCCCTCTGAGTGTTGATATCATTAATGGAACGTATTTGTTCCTCTTCCTTGGTCTTCACTTCAGCAAGCTGGTCTTCAATTGTCCTGCAGAGCTTTTCAAGATTGACCTGCGCATTAAAAGATGCGTAAACGTCAGTGTTAGGTTCAACACATCAAAGCTAGAATTATTCCAAATTCAAGTTCAGAACCAAACTTGATATCATGTTTTTTTTTGTGTGCAGCCATTAATAACTGGGTTGAGATCATCAACTCACTGCACTTGAGAACCCGGTTCGCAATCACGTGCATTCTAACTTAGGACCTCAGTGTTACCTGCTCATGAAGTTTGTATTTTAAAAGGTTACCTTGGCTTTTGTGACTTGTTCCAAGTTGCTGCTGAGGTCATCGACTTCCATCTTGAACTCGCTCTTCTCCTTCTCCAGCTTCTGCTTGACGCGCTGCAGGTTGTCGATCTGCTCCCCGAGCTCGGCCACGGAGTCGGCCTGCTTCTTCCTCAAGGCGGCGGCCGTGGCTTCGTGCTGCAGGGTGGCCTCCTCCAGGTCTCTCCTGAGCTTCTGGAACTCGGCCTCCCTCTTCTTGTTCATCTCGATCTGAGCCGAGGTGGCTCCGCCGGCCTCCTCCAGCCTCTCGCTGATCTCTTCCAGCTCCCGAGAGAGGTCGGACCTCTGCTTCTCCACCTTGGCGCGAGCGGCACGCTCCGCCTCGATCTCCTCCTCCAGCTCCTCGATACGGGCCTACTGGCAGAAGACCGGTGTTACCATTGCAGTTCAACATCACACAAAACCGCAGCAAACTATTCTAACAGAAAAAAAAAAAACTTCAAGGAACGCACAACGTTCGTGCAAACTCGGAAACCATTGTGCCGGCACGCTCGCTTAATCCACCTGCAGTTCCTTGATCTTCTTCTGCAGTTGAGCGGACAGGCTGACTTCATCCTCGATCCTGCTGTTCAGCTGGCTCATCTCAAAGTCTTTCCTGATGGACAAGAAGAAGAATGGGGAGATCACGCCAGCCGTTCGTTAGTCAATGTGCAGCTCGCAAGCTGAGAGTGACGCAGGTGCGTATTGGCGGGACGAAGGGCAACAGGAGCACGTACTTCTTCAGCTTCTCGTCCAGTTGCTGCTTGTCGTTTTCCAAGTCCATGAGGGACTCCTGGGCCAGCTTCAGGTCTCCTTCCATCTTTCTCTTGGTTCTTTCGACGTCCATGCGGACCTTCTTCTCTTGCTCCAACGAGCCCTCGAGCTGAATGCGTCAAGGGGAGAGCGTGGAAGGCGCAACATTGTCGTTAAAAGCATCGCGAACGAACACTTGCATTCTTAAAACTGCAAGCCATGCATGACCATCTCTCTGCAATGACATTGCCTGAAAATGTTCCCTATTAGACAGTCATCCCTCATTTGAAGGCAACTCGAGGTACGGAATTTTCCTAAAACCGTGACTTATGAATAAGGGAAGGAATTCGATATACGTTACGTTAAATTCGCATTGACGTTTTTTTTTTATCTCGAAGGTGTGCGTTGTTAAAGAGAAAATCGGTCTTTCACCACGTGCTGTTCGCACTGCACTGGACTGGGTTCCACGCTCTCCGTGTTGTTGCTCGTTTCGGTTCGGTCCCTCTATGTTGATCACACCTTGGGAGATGATCACGCGCATCTTGAGGGATGCCAGAATATGTTTTTTCCCCCCTTCTAGGGCATTGTTAAAGCCTAATGTGTTGAGTTTTTGGTACGAGTGCTTCTGCACGTGTGTGTCACTGGTCAATGCTGTACCAAAGACACACCCCCCCCCCCACCTCCCCCCCTTCTAAAACGATAAAATAATTTTGAGATCTTACATCGTCCACTTGCTGCTCCAGCTTGGCCTTGGCCTTGGTGAGGGAGTTGACTTTGTCCTCCTCCGCCTGGAGGTCGTCCAGCGTCTGCTGGTGAGCCTCCTGCAGGGCCTTCTTCTCCTTCGTCAGCTTGGACACGTTCTCGTCCAGCACGGCCATCTCCTCGGTCAGGTTTTTCACCTGGAGAGGAGAAAAAAATTAAGCTGAGTTAATAAAGCAAGAAGCGCCGAACATGTGATCGTGGCGAAGCAAGTGCGCGTTTACCGCTTATTTCAGGGAGGTTCCTAGTTTGGGCACAACGGACCACCCTGGTGATGACTGTGGCTCTTATATCTGTAGACATCCACCACTTCATGGTGGATGTTGAAGATTCAAAGGTCCAAATTTCATCAATTGTCCCCATACATTATTTTATTTGGGGAAAACAGCGACGCAATCTCTCCCTACTGGCAGATTAATGCCCATTTGCATTGCTGCATTCACCTTGTGCGGCACAGGCAAAACTCCCACTGCGGGTCCCCTTGGCTAGACCCCAGCAGGACGCCGCAGTGGGTTGAGGTGAAATGTGATACGGGCATCGTAGCCGTGCAATTCCTTCTTCTCAACGTTAAATTACGGTGCGAGTCGTACAGCGCCGTGCTGAACAAACCTTGTTCTCGGTCGCGTGTTTTTCCTTCTCGACCTTAGCGAGCGTCAGCTCGAGGTCGTCAATGTCCTTTTTCAGTTCGGAACATTCGTCCTCGAGCTTCCTCTTCTTGGCAGTAATCTCGGCGTTCATTTCCTCCTCCTCTTCGACTCGCTCTTGAATTTCTTTGATCTTGCCTTCCAGCTGGATTTTGGTCTTGATCAGCTGGTCACACCTCTCCTCTGCATCATTCAGGGTCTCCTCGCTCTGCGTCAAGAGAAGGGATTGATTTGATTTGACGTGGCACGTCAACGTTTACATTTTTGGACAAGACGTAGAGATGGCAAACATAACTCGACACTCTGGGTGTTGTGACAGTGTATGGTAAATTACAACAGCAGACTGTAGCAGACTTTAGTTTACAGGAATATTAATATATCTTTAAGGTTCATGATTATGAATACACAACAACAAAAACTATCCAAATCGAGGCATTTCATGTTATTGTAATACTTTATATTAAACATCACATTTCAGTGTATTCACATCACACTCAGGTGTCTTAACCAACAGTAAAGAGTGCGAACTTACACTCTGGACTTGGATGAGCAGGTCATTCTTATCCTGCATAACGGAGATCATTTTCTCCTCCAGCTCCTTACGCCGGGTCTCCGACTTCTCCAGGGCCTCCTTGGTCTTGATGAACTCCTCCTTCATGTTCGCCATTTCCTTCTCGGATTCGGCGGACTTGAGCAGAGGCTTGATCTTGAAGTACAGGTTCATCCACGGCCAGTTCTTCACACCCATGAAGGCTCTGATGTTGTACTGGATGATGATCAGAGACTCGCTGTAGGAAGAAGCAACGAACCACAAAGATGACGTGACATTGTCCATAGTTACATAAATTATTGTATAAGAGAGTGGCTTGCTGTTGAATGTGTGTATGTGCCTGTGTGTGTGTCTCTCAACGTACACATCGCCTGGCACAAGCGCCATAGTGTCGTCGCCGCCACTTAGTGGCGAATGACGGCTGTTATTGTTGTTGTGTAAAAAAAAGACATGCAGGAAGACTAAACAACAGATCCTATTTACCGTCTCTCCAGCATCTTCTTGAACTCGACGCGGCTCAGGTAGCCACGAGCGAGGGCCTGGGTGCGCGTGAGCAGGAGGGACAGGCGGTCGTCCCTCATCTCCTCCAGGGTACCCAGGAGACCAGCGCGGAAGAACACCTGAGAGACACGGCATTGGTGAGTAGGTGAGTATCGGCCTGAGTGGCAAAACTGAAAATATGCTGGAGAATACGATTGTCTAACCAGGAATGCTTCATTGAGCCTGATAAATCTCCATTTCAGGAGGTTTCTTGCTATAATTTTTGTTTGTCAGTAAGAGGGGGGGGGGGGGCGGTGATAGCTGTGTGGTTTTTCCAATGTTCGTGATTCATGTTTGTGACCAAGTAATTGTTGTTATATCTTGCAATCGTCCTAATTTATGAGAGCTTCACTGTGACCTATTGGTCATCTGTGAAAAAGAGCTCCATATCTCATCGGATTCCTCCAGTATAAATTCATATTCTGATTCTATACACCCTCAAAGAACCCTCGGTTTATATTCATAACCGGGTTAGAGTAGAATCTACATGAGACACACAACGGCAGAAAAACTACACAAGGATCGGCCTTGCATACCTTGGTGTGTCCGAACTTGTACTGAGTGTCATCGAGCTCCAGGGAGGCCATGAGTTTCTCGCAGGCCTTCTTGCTGTCCATGAACTGCCCCTCCGGAATGGCGTTGGGGTTCAGCACGCGGTACCTACGAGGCACGAGAGAGCACGCGGGTTCACGTGTGACACTAACGCTCGCGGTTTGCACGGCACAGCCTGTAACGACAGACTGCTGGAGGTGTTACGGAGGTTGTAGTTGTAGCGCTCGGATCCTGGCTTCTAATCCGTATGGCTGATGTAGATGCAGAGCAACAACGTACAGATTCCAATCGAGTGAGTCAGCCATGATTATACGGAGTTCTCAAGTGAAGTGAGATGCAGCCTGTCATTAACGACTGCAGTAAAACCTCTTGAAACCAGAAGACATTCGAGAAGAGATGTTCTGCTGATGGGGGGGGGGGGGTGGTCTATAATTCTGCAAGTGATTACATGTTAACAAAATAAATATGTTGGAATTAGCTTTGAATATCATTGACACAGTGACTATGAAACAACACCACGTAGTGCAAATGTACAATGGGGTTCTTATGACATGATGCTGACAGTACATTTGTAATAAGTGGGTAAAAATAATAAAAAAATAATTTATTGAAAATAAATAATAATAGACTGCTGGGGCTTCAAACTGCTTTAGTCGTGTACAAAAGCGACCTTTTATAATGGAGGATATGAGTGGACTTGTATCAGTTTCACCTTTATTGCAGCCTCGCCCTCAGGTATGCCGTGGCTTTTGCTCCATCGTACTTTGCCAGTGACAATAACGGTGACAATATCTAGAAGGGCCTTTACGTATTGTGACCAGGGCTGGATTAAGGCACGGGGGCTTTAGGGGCTGCAGCCCAGGTGCCTCCAGTCAGCTGAAGGGGGCCTCCAGAGATTAAGTGAAAATTTGTGAATGCCGAATTTTATTTGTTGTTAGCCTTGTAAAAAATAATTTTCTTTAACTTTTTTATCCTTTGGAAAATATTACTGGGGGCCTCACAGTACCTGGAGCCCAGGGGCCTACACAATCTTAATCGGGCCCTGATTGTGACCTACGTAGCGCCAAAGGGTACGGCGGTCGAGTTTGCAACGACGTCCCACGTCTGTCTGCACTCACCGCTGCTTGAAGTCACCGTAGACGATCCTGTTGGGGAAGCCCTTCCTGCAGATCCTGATGCCCTCCAGCACGCCGTTACAACGCAGCTGGTGCATCACGAGGATGTTGTCCATGGTACCTGGAGATGGAACGCACGACAGGTCAATAACCCTCACCGGGGATGCAGCCACACATCGGTAGTTGGAGACAGCCTACCCCAGCGGTTGCTCCCTGTTGGTTACCGGTGACCTTACAGACTCAATCTCTCCGGCGGCGGCACATCCCAGCGGCAGCGAGTTTGCCGCTTGCTGCAGAGACTCGGTGGATCGGATCCGGCAGGACTGCCCTGCTTAATGCCGCGGGTGTATTTGCTATAATGTCCGTGCCATCTGCTTCATAGCAGACGTGAAGGATGCCTGATGTCATTGGAAGGAGAGTAGGTTTTTGTCCCCGCAGTGTGCATGTCGGGTCTCTACAGATATGAGGTTTCACAGAGGCAGGTTTGGATTCGGTGATGAGTCCTAATAATCACGAAACCGGTCTGCAGCTGCCATTGTCTCACCGCTGCCTGTTGGTTAGTCACATTTGCTAAATGTACCGATGGTGACTTTAGACGAGATGACCACAATGCAATTCCTGAGGAACAAGTGGTTTTGCATAATACAGTACTTGAAAGGTACTTTAAAGGCTGCGAGGTATTTTTTTACACAACAGTGCACGTGTTTGTGTGTTGTTGAAACCTTTAGTTTTCCGGACTGTGCTTTTTCTGTTCTTATGGGTTTTCCTGTCATTTACAGATTTGATTATAATTCTTGCCCAAAACCTATTTAATACACACGTTTAAACAAACTTAACGGCTGTACTACAATTATATTGAATCGATGCAGCAGCGCTAAACCGACAAAGAGCTTCACAGCTCTTCGGATTCCCCAAGTCTAAACTAAGATTCTGATTCTGCCTCCCACACGCATGCTCCTGGTCACATCTGCGCTACACAAACCACAGGAGGTGGCACTGTTGTCAACCCCTGTACAATCTTAATTTGGAGCTAACCCCTCCCTCTCTCCGCCCCCGCCCCCTCTCTCTATTTAAGGCCTCGTCACAGAGACGTTCTCTCTCTGTGTGCCTATGTGTGTTCTCTCTCTATGTATCTCTGTGATATCTGTCTGCTTATATGTCTGTCTATAGTTTTCTGGTTAGATTTTTGTTGCTATTTCATTTATACCTAATGATGATTGCTTGTGTTGCAATCGAAACGTCGTATGCTATTATTTCATTTATTATTTTATCTTTATACGTAACTTTACCGAAAGAACCAAAGAGTAACCCCTGTACAGTGAAAGCGAAGAGAGAAACCCAACATTTGGTCAATAATATCCGATTTTTTTCTAATATTAAGGACAACATCAGAATAGCTCAAATAAAAATGCTGCATGGGTTATTGAAATATTGAGTTTTCCTTTGTTGCTTGTACCGATTAAAAAATGCTATTTTAGGCATTGCTACGCGTAGGAATTGTCAGCGTGAGCATTGCACAACAAACCGGGAGTCTTGGTCTCATTGGGGATGATGCAACGCACGAAGTGGGGGTGAGTTGTCTTCAGGTTGGTCATCAGCTTGTTCAGATTCTCCTGCGAACGACAAATAAAGCAACGGATGCAAGTTTAATATTTCTCCCGGCAGGACGAATGCAGCGTCCAGTCGGCGGCAATGCCCGGCGCAGTATTTTTTGTAATTGCTGACGTGAAGCCAACGTGAAGTGGCACGTGTTCCCGTGGCGCTGTATTACCCTGTGCAGGGCAGACACGGTCTGGAAGGAGGAACCCTTCTTCTTCTTGCCTCCCTTGCTGCCGGTGTCTACACAAACGAGCCACGGAAACAGAACGGGGGGGGGGGGCGGGGGGGGGGGCGCGTTGAGCTAAACGTGCTCCAAAAAAGAACCACGCGCTTGTCCAGAGATCAAGTTCGATGTGATTACGTATGAAAGAAATGCGTTTTGCGTGTTCACCGTGAAGGGTCGTAACAAATCTAATGTACGTTTTTAGGAAGCACGCTGTGAAAATGAAAATTTTTAAACTAATTCCACGGGCCGGAAATATAAGCTTATCACCACTTCCAAAGGCATTCCGAATCAAAGCAAGCCTGTAACCAAATCACCGAAAATATACCTTATATCTCATCAGACCTTGAAATCTAAGCAGATTTAAGTCTGGACTAGTGCTTGGATGGGTGACCACCCTGCACAAAGCTGCCACTGCAGGCTGCTGCAAGGCTACATCGTCGTCAGTAGGCACTGCAGTAAAACCCGCAGGTGCTCTTCAGTTCAGAAGCCCCCAGCATCTGCGCTCCATGCCTTCACCAACCAGCACTGACCAGCGCGGTGAAGTATGGTCAAATAAACCGCAAGACCTGCGAGGGGGTGAGGAGGCCGTCGTCCAGCAGTGGATTGACAAAAATAGGGGCTTCGAATTAAAGCATGAGATTTTTTTTTTAAATGATGTTGTAAAGTGGCTCTTTAAGATTTCGGGCAGTGGACAATGACTTACAATTAGGCATTACAAAAAATACACCTACAGAAATGTTTAGAACCTCTAAGACATTAATTTATCTACTTCGTATGGGAAATCCTTACCGCTATCAACACTAGCATAGGTAGCGTAAACAGCTGCCAGCATCTTCAGCGCTGACTTCTGGTAGAGCTGCACCACAGAGTCGTTCAGTGGATCCTTGTTCTTCTCCAGCCAGCCACCGATGTTGTAGTCCACGTTGCCGGCGTAGTGGCCGAGGGAGAAGTGAGCCTCGTGCTTTCCCTTCGACGGCTTGGGCTTCTGGAAGAATTGGTTCTTGCCGAGATGCTGGTCGTACAGCTTCTCCTTGAAGGTCTGATCGTTGGCTTTGGGGAACATGCACTGCTCCTCGAGGATGGACATGATGCCCATGGGCTGAAACAATACGATGTGCATTTTAAGTATCGTCACATGTACAGGCTTTGTCTCGCAGTGGGCTTGAAAATTAAGAGGATCGGCAAACAGAGACCAGAGGTCTGCGATGGGTTAACGCAACGTTAACGGTAAAGTTGCATCGCTGCAATTGCTCACGTGACTGCTGTCAGAAATGGCTCCACTGGAGGAGCTCTAGAAAACTTATCTCTGGGATATTTTATCCAATTCTTCCACACTGGCCACATCGACATCTTGGAAGGGGTGGGAGCATCCACGCTTCACCCCCACCACATCGACCTGCCGAACTAAGTGTGGTTGTACACATTTATACTGCTGGGTGGACAATGGCAGGACGATGTAAACAAACAAAAAAATGTGCCCGTTGTATCAACTGCCTTGTCAGAAGTTCAAATCAAGCTGGCACATCTCCGGGTTGCCAGGTCCAGTGTGCTCACCGTTATAAAACGGTACCATCCCAGTGTGCCAGAACGCACATGATACCTCCGGCATGACCGTGGATAACTCTTGTTCGCCAACCGTGGCTATAACATACGAAGCGTCTCTCTTTTGAATTACAGCGCAGCACTGGCCGTTGCAAAACACTAAAACGCCACGGCATTCAAGGCTCGAACCTTCTCGATGAGGTCGATGCAGGCCTGCAGGTCCATGCCGAAGTCGATGAAGACCCAGTCGATGCCCTCCTTCTTGTACTCCTCTTGCTCCAGCACGAACATGTGGTGGTTGAAGAACTGCTGCAGCTTCTCGTTGGTGAAGTTGATGCACAGCTGCTCGAAGGTGTTGAACTGTGGAGAGGACAGAGAGGCGTTTGGCACGCAGAACAATATGGTTTATCTTCTTTGTAGTTTTTGTTATCCAATTATGCTAAGCGCTCGAGAGAGTGATTTCAATTCGATATTTCACCAGATGCGGATATAAACGTCACACTAAACGTGCAGGGTGAACAATGCAGTCCGCACTCACGTCGAAAATCTCGAAGCCGGCAATGTCCAGCACACCGATGAAGTGTTGCCTCGCTAATTTGGTGGCAAGGGTCTCGTTGATGCGGATGACCATCCAGAGGAACATCTTCTCAAACACGGATCTTGCCAGGGCACCCACTGAGTTGTGCACCTACACAGAATAAGAAAGTTTTCCGTTAACGAGCAAAATTGTCTTCAATTTGTTTTATCGTCGACTTGTTTGTCCCGTCCGTCAAAGATTCAACGGGTCTCGCGAGGACATTTGGCAATTTATGTTTTAGCGCCACACATTTGAAGTAGCTAAACAACTTTTTTTTACAAAGTGTATACACTTCAGGTAACCTCTGTGCATCTATCAACACTGTATCTGCGTGGATAGAAACTTCAGATAACCTCTGTGCACCTATAAACCCTGTATCTGCGTGAATAGAAACTTCAGATAACCTCTGTGCACCTATCAACCCTGTATCTGCGTGGATAGAAACTTCACATAACCTCTGTGCATCTATAAACCCTGTATCTGCGTGGATAGAAACTTCACATAACCTCTGTGCACCTATCAACCCTGCCTCCAAAGCGGTGGATTACAAGTGTGCAGTACCAAACCAGTCAATAACAATACTAATAATGCAACTGCATCAAGTAAGACATCAAACTGATACACCGCAAAAAATAGCTTAATTCATAATCAAGTCCATAATCAGTGACGCTTCGTACTTAGGGGCTGGTGAGGATATGCCCCACGAGTGAAACAAGTAAGAAATCCTAACAATATTTATCTGCTCGTAACGATTAAGATGATAACCTTCACACACCCTCCCTCTCCACGCGCCATTTCCCCTCATCCCCAAGAGGCTTTTTGTGCCCCCCCCCCCCACCGGTATGTTTAGCCACCACTGTCCGGAATAGGACGGCAGAGAAGGTCACACAGTACCTGCTGGACAGTTTGACCTTTGGTCACGTATTCGTTGCCGACTTTGACTCTGGGGTAGCAGAGACCTTTGAGGAGATCTGCGGAGTTGAGGCCCATGAGATAGGCCGCTTTGTCAGCATCTGAAACAACAACAACAACAACACGTGGAGCAATACCTTTGTGTTAAAAAAAGAAAATTGTTGATTTGTGTTCATACAATGGCTAAATTTAAGCCTACCTTAATATTCCACAACCAAGTGCTGAGCTTCACGTGATTATTTGCAGGATTATGACATATATGAGGGATGCTTTGTAATATATATCCAAGATGATTTCGTAAATAGGGGAGAAATAACTAAAGTAATAATGCTGTACAGATGAGTATTACTTCGCTTGTTTACCCGGGAAAGCCTCACTGAGTCTCAAGACTCTTTTTCAGAAGTTTCCTGCCAAGTTTTCACAGTAGGGGGGCGATGTTGATACGCGCGATCCAAATCAAGCGATTATTTTAGCATTGGGATATTTTGGGCTAATATCAGCTATATTGTGTGTGTATTTTTTTAGCTATGGGAGGAAAGCGGAGAACCTGGACGAATCCCATTCAGCAGTCGGCGAGAGAGATCATACAAACTCCACACAGAAAGGTAGCAGGGAATCGAACCCAGGTACGCCTTGCTGTGAGGCACGAGTGTTGCCTACCGTGCCACCGTGCTGTGCAAATTCTATTTTATTCTTACTTTTTTCGTACGGCTGCTGATGTAGATGCAGAGCAAACGACTACAAGTTAACAATCAGGTGGTCAAGCCCAGATAACCGCATCAGGAGCAGTAGCGGAGTAGTGAATCATCGCTGCCGTGTCTCCATCGTATTTGTGGATCGGACACTGCGTCGTTCTATGTTGCACGGTCTCCGCTGTGGATGACCACAGTCGCAAGCTACTACTGGAGAGTTTTTAATTCTCCATTTGTGCATCAGGTATCCAAATTATATGCAATTAGGGGACAGGAAGACAGAGCTGGTGGTAATTAGGGGAGAAATGGAAATTATCATTTGTGCACTTGGAAGTTCGCTGTACCCTCATTGCCGTCGGGCTCTGCCTGCTCCTCCCGCTGTTTCTGCTTGAACTTCATGTTGCCGTAGTGCATGAGGGCACCGGTCACTTTGTAGATGCTCAATTTCTCATCGTTGGTGAAGCCCAGGATGTCGATGGCGCTCTGTACGTGGAAGAAAAGAAAAACAAGGATATCATTAGAATGTTAAAATGCAACACAACACCGCTGCTTGTACTCTGTATGTGTGTGTACATATATATTAGGACCAATGGAAATAAAACAATAATAATTAAGGTCCACGATATACTGAAAACCAACCATATGTTTTGCCATATAGAGATCAAACATCCAGGGCAAATCTGTGCTGAGAGTGAGTAATGACAAAGCAGTGTAAATTTAGTTAAGCTTTCATTTTTGTCATTACACCAATAAACGCTGAACAAATGAAATCAACATTGAGAATGAACGTTGCAATGCAGGGGATATCGTGGGAGAAGTTGTACATGGGGTTGGCAATGCAGTCTGCCAATGAGCTCCTCCGGCCATACCCAAAAGTCAAGGCCTAGCTCCACTATGGGCAGATGAAAAATTTAATCAACGTGAATTGATGATTTACGTGACGGGACTCACGTCCGTGGCCATTAATTCGTCTCCATCATCGAGGGACGGCACGGTGATTTCACCCTGGCTGATGAAGACATAGTCGTATGGGTTGTTGGTAATGAGCAGCATTTCTGTGAGGGACGATATAAAATGGGGAGAAAATTCAGTTGTAAGATAGGCAAAACAAACTTGCGATCCATGCTTCAAATGCAAAAATTAACTCGTAAAAACAAAGTTTTTCACTATAAATCCTTTATATGCGTGGCATCGGTTTTATTTTATTATTCTTTTCTGTTTTTCTTGAGTAAGAGTTTCATTTTTATCACATTGGTATTTTAAATGAAACATGAAAATTTTATTTTCCTAAAAAGTGTAAAATATTGGAAAAAAAAATTCACGAAAATACATTGTCTGTGTGCAAAATGTCAGCTCGATTGGATCACGGGAAGTGGGTTAAAAAACGACCGAAAGATTTGCGCGCAAGCAAGCAAGTGAACTTAATATAAAGGATTTAAAAAGAAAAACCTATGAAGGTGAGTGATACCGTAAGAGTGTGTCTTGACAAAAAACTGAAACTTCAAAAGATGAGTACGCCTTTTTTTTTACCCATGAAAATCTAATAAAAAGCAAACCTCTCGTGAAAACTTACCTAGAAGTTCTGGCTTCTTTTGAGATTCAATTTGATAGAAAATGTGGTAGTTCCTTTCCGTTGGAAGCTGGAATGTTACTCGAGATTTCTCCAGGAGATCTGAAAATCAGTGTCATTAAAATTACTAAAATCACATTGATGAAGATTTGTGTTATGTCTTACGTTTACTGAATCCGCTTTAAAGTATGTTTAACACAACAATGTAGGCTCAAATGCATTGTTGTTGTTGTTGTTTTCTTTTTACGAAAAGGTAAAGGTGCAGCCCTGCAATGTCCTGCTTACACCACTCATGGGAATAACGCTTTCACTAGAGGGCCCCTCTAGAAGGTATTGGCCTACTCTTCCACACAGCAAGACATCTTGGCAGAGGTGAGAGTACCCACACTTCACCCCACCGCATGTGACCTATCGATTAAAGAATATTTTTTGTAAAAAAGAAACCTATATTTTAATGTTTAAACGGTTGCCAATTAGACTTTTGTCCACATATTTAATATATATCTTATTGGACACACAGACTGAACTTTTTTCTTATTATATTTGCACATTAAGCATATTTACCAAATATACAATAATGCATGTTTTTCTCCAACTAAAGATTAATTTGACTAAGACACGGACACACAAAGGCCTATTCAAGCAATATAATATTGTGATGTGCCCATGGTAAGTGAGTATGCAAGACTACCTAGCTTTTCTGTTTACAATAATACCTTCAAATTAGAGATAAGATTAAGTATGGTACTTTGCAGCACAGCCATCACTTGTTATTAATATGCAATTAACTATTTAATGATTATTTGGAGCAAATTATTCATAAAAATCAAGCAAACCGTGCCCAGAATGGCTGGCATTTAGAAATTTAAAAAAAAATATTGCAATTACCCTACCAATGCATGCAACAGGCTTGACACATTTTAAAGTTCCTTTTCATTTATTTGAGTCTTGAGAAGGTAATAAAATAATAAACCCCACATTTTAAAAATATCTATTTTTAATATCCCCTGAATATAAAGGCTATGCTTTACATATAAGCACATCACTCCATCTAAATAAAATGACGACCCCATTTAATTGACAAATAATAGAATATATTTGTGTATGCGTGCATGCTTTCTAACTTACAAGTTTCAATATCTGCGGATGATAGTTTTCCTGTGGCACCGAAGTGGATTCTGATGAACTTGCCCTGTGAGGGGACAACGTCGGTTTAGTGACATGATACTCGCACTCGTGGCGTTTGCGTGTAAAAAGAAAAACAAATCAACAAAGCCTGCGCAAGTTGTCTCACTTACAAAACGCGACGAGTTGTCATTTCTCACGGTCTTGGCGTTACCAAAAGCTTCCATCAGAGGGTTGGCCTCGACGATTTGATCCTCAAGGGTACCCTGTTGAGTGAAACCAAACCATGAGCACGATTGACTTTGGGGGGAAAAAAGAGATCACCGTCGGTGTTAACAATAAGCAAAGTAGTTTAACACATAGGCTTTCGCGACCAATATTATTCATAATCAACGTTTTTGGGTTTAGATCGCGTTATTTATAAATGTGACAAATTAGTGACACTTTTTTACTGATTGGTCGTGTCGGGTGGTGGAGGGTTACGACACATTTATAAATAACGCGATCTAAACCCAAAAACGTTGATTATGAATAAGCAAAGTAAGCAACATCTTCGGGCCTGATGCAGGTGCAGGGGGCCTGGGTATCGTGAAAGAATAGCGGTGTATCGAGCATCAGCCAGAATTCACATCCTTATTTTAAAAAATTAAAACATCTAATTAACATGAAAGCTAATTCATCTAAACTGATCTATATCTGGTCTACATCGCTTTCATCTCGCTACATCTCTGTCTTTGTCTGCATTTCTTTTATTTTTATTTTATTTCGCGACACATCTTTATCTTGTCCATGTCTCTTCTGTAATTTCGCTTAGGAGTTTATACAATTGAATTGGGGAAATCGCAAACAAATATATTTCCTTTTTGGGCCCGTAATGGACCAGCACCACTACTGCAGATCATCACGTGAACTGATGAGTTTCAAGTGACTTGCTGGGGGCACGACCCACAGTAACACCCATAGGAAGCCCACATTGAACCGTTGACCAAGTTAAGAGGTAAGCCTTCTCACCCACACACTGCACCCTGATCGTACAAAAAAAGTGGGTGTAAATCATATATTATTCTGATACAAACTAGAACGTGTTCTCGCTATCTCAACTGACCTCCACGATGCATTATTGTTCACGTGTGCACATGCTGTCGGCATAAATGGCGCGATGTAGAATTAAAGTAATATCATTGTAATATAAATGTTGGCAAGTTTATGCATCTCTGGCTGGTAACGTACGTGCTCAACGCGTCCGATCATCAGCCCTGAGCCAGCCTCCACGTGCATGTACGTATCGAGTGTCCATGAACGAGCGTCAGTGACAGTAACTGCCGTTGCTTAAGCCCGTCGTGAAGACTAACAACGTTGTAACAGGAATTGAAACGTAATAATTGGTTTTTAACCCTGTTATCTGGCAACACAACTGACACCTTTTTTACAAGGAGTCATGTTTGCATAGACCACAATACCTGCAGTCATAATGCAAACAAAAAACATTACTCTGATAATGTATGCACTGTCCTTGAAGTTGATTGGTCCACACCCGAGACAGCTTTCCTTAGAGCCTAGTCTCACATGGTGTTGAACCAGATGACGCCAAAAGTCGTCTATGCAAACATGACTCCTTGTAAAAAAAGGTGTCAGTTGTGTTGCCAGATAAAAGGGTAAAAAAACAATTATCATATTTTTTTTTACTGACAAATGAGGTTCCAATGGTGTAAAGGAATTAAAACGTCGCATTTTTTACTATTAAAACGTTGGGATAAGAAACCTACCTTTCTGCTTTCCTCCTTCTTCTTGGTAGCGTCGCCCAGGGCCGCAATTGTTGCGAAGTACTGGATGACTCTCTTCGTGTTGACAGTCTTACCAGCACCGGATTCTCCGCTGGGTACGGGAAATACCAAAAAAACAACGGTCACTGTGGATCGGAAGCTGCATTCATAGTGCCCGGGCGAAATTACATGTTTCTCCTACAGACAGCACCCGGTGTCATAACACCCCCAGGATGCGCTGGGCGCAGTGCTTCTTGTTGATGGAATGTAACCAAATTATTTGGTGACTGCCATTGGCAATGGTACACGATGGACAAACAGCAAAACTAAACAACGCACGGCCCATCATGCGCTATGAAGAAGGACCCATTTGCCAGGGATGGTGGCTGTTATTTATCTGTAGAAAAACATCATTTTCAGGCATAGTCACTAATGAACGTGCCGAGTTTTTATCACTTTTTATAGGAATTGTTGGTGTAAAAAAATGTTAAATGACTTACGTGATGAGGATAGACTGATTTTCTCTATCTGTAAGGGATATAAATTACAGAATATGTAATGCACAGACTTATAAACTAAAACATTGAAATACAATACTAATCACGCTCTATATGCAGGGTGATTGATTTATAGATAGCCCACTAAAATAAGGATACATTATTGAGAACACAACTTCGTTTAAAAGCTTCCGTATCTCCCTCAAATCTCAATATACACGGATTACATCACATCGTATTATCCTCTGTAAGACATGGAGCCATCACTTTCCCAAAATTATCTCTCTTCTTGAGACGATGGTCCCTTGCGAATGATTCCATTCCATCTCCATTAATTTTCCAGGTAGATATACATTAAATTACATCAATTGTCTAAATGATATAGCAGTAATAGTTGGGCAGTTTCACTTGACCGCCCATAAGAGCTTGCGCGTGCCAGCACAGTGAGACAAAGCGTGTGTTCGCAACGTACCAGTCAGCATGAACTGATAAGCGTTATCAGAGATGGAGAAGATGTGAGGAGGTGCCTCCTGACGCTTCTTCCCTCTGTATCCAGCCACAACGATTGGGTCGTACACCGGCAGCCATTTGTATGGGTTGATGGTGACGCAGAAGAGGCCGGAGTAGGTCTACAAAGCAGCACGACGCTCAACGTTACGCGGTGCTCACCCACACGGCGTCTTTGCCCCAGAGCTGGGTCATCCCAAGCAATTACAGCAAAGTAGGGTCTGCCACCTCTAAGCTACAACCCCCCGGACATATCGTGAGAAGAAGCAGAATATCTCACAAGAGCAGTCGAGGGGAGGACTCGACGCCAATATTTAAAGATTTGCAGATTTCACAGATTTCCCAGGATGGCTGACAATGTTTAAAGAGTCGCAAATTTCCCAGGATGGATACTGTCACAAAGAGGACAATCCTAGGAACACCAGGACAGGGGGCAACCCATACTACAAGCAGCAACACAATACTGTGCATGAAACACGGAGTGCCGTTCCTTACGTAAATCATCCAGGCTGCGTATCTTTCCTTCAGGTTAAACAGCACAGACGGTTCGTTCAAGAAGGTCAACATGGCCATGTCCTCAATTTTGTCGAACTTGGGAGGATTCATCTGGTGGACTTGGCTGTCCTTGACTGTCACAGTCTGCGGGGGAGAAAATAACTCATGTCAGACACATTTACGTCACACTGTTGAGGTAATTGATCCGAATTAATCCAGGACGGTCGTTACATTGATTTGTTTATACATTGACTTAAAGCTTTCGTGACTGCAGGAATTCATATTCTTTGGGTCTTTCGGTAAAGTCACGTAGATAGGTTCAAAGAAAATAACAAAAAAAACTACGACGTTTCGATCGCAACACACGCGGTCGTCATCAGGAACGCTTGTGTTGCGATCGAAATATCGTAGTTTATGTTATTTTATTTGAACCTATCTACGTGACTTTACCGAATGACCCAAAGAATTTGTTTATACATTGTAACATAAAAATTAAATGTGTATATATATAATGGTATTCTCGAAATAATGGCCATTGAAACTTTGGAACACATTTCGTAATGCATACCTGGCCAGTCTCAGTGTCGACGGTGACTTTGCCACCCTCGCTGCTCTTGATGGTGGCCTTCACGAACTCGACCTTCGGGTCGTCCACGTAGCACTCCTTCTTCATGTCGAAGGGGCGAGTCTGGGCCTCCAGACGCTCCTTCTCCGACTTGCGCAGGAAGGGAGCGGCCTTCCCGAACTCGTGCAGGTCTCCCATCTTGCCTGGTCATTAGGTGTTTGGGGGGATTGCGGTGTCAGAAACAAAATTAATGAATGACTGTTTTTGTTTTTACATTTCACCGCTCCGCATAATTTTGTTGTTGTTGCGGTCGTGTTGTACGGCTGTCCAGTGACGGGATTGCCCCGCGTATTGTACGGCGTTTCCACTCCACGTGCAGCGGATCTTCTTCAGGGGTCGTCAGATATCGTGCCAAAAAACAGCGCACGTGGTACGACCCGACAACATACATGGAGAGCTCCGTCATATAGGTAGGAGGGGGGGGGGTTAGATCGCGTAAATATATAAATGTGTCGTTAAAGCCACCACCACCCGACACAGCTAATTAGTAAGCTTTGTCACGTAAACGGAACGCGCCAATTTGTTACTAGTACAGCGCACCGGTGTGTTGGAGAGCAAAGCCCGAAATATTAACAATCTAAATATCATTTACCAGTCATGCTCAACAATAGAGCAAAGTCAGTCATCTTTCATTGCCCCTTTCAAAAGAAAGCGAGATAGATAATATGGATAAAATTTTGAAATTATTAACAAAATAAATGTGCACACAGTACGTCTCCTTACCATATCCCTCTCTTCAGGTAAACATTTTAAAGTATTTTTTGACACAACCCATTGACCACATGGCCTTCCAGGACTACATTGTTCCAGAAGCATTGGTTAATAATACAGGCAAAGTCTGGAGCAGTCTCAACAGTCGGTCTCTCATCGCCAGTCAGGAGCAATTAAACTCATGCTGATGAACGTCCAGAAGCCAGTCGAGACGTATTGTGTGATGATTTATTGATTTTTTTGTGTTCTCCACAATTAATCTGATTGTTTGGTGTTGCCTGATATCATTAGTGAGCTTGTTGATGGCAATTGCATTCAAATGTTATCAAAAAGTTTGCATGCGTTTTAATTAAATTCCCCTATAACTATGAGCACGTATTCTTTAATCCCTGCAAAACATTGGCTGGTACAATAGTCTTCAAAATTCGCCCATAGTTCACATGAATGCAAATTCTAGAGGCTATATACAAGCCTAAAGACATGGCTCTTAACTGGGGAAATTTCATGCAAAATTACCTACTGCCTACCCTAACCTCTGATTGACTCTTCATATAAATAAATCACATGGATATGCCTCCTCTCCCAAGGTTTTGTACAGCATGTTGAGATGTAGTTGCACTCAGAAGCTATGCAAATCCAAATTGCATTGTACATGCAACAACTGAAGCATCTGCAGGGTCTCCAGCACATACCCTGCAAGAACTTACAGCAAAGTACAAGAGTACTTGTGACTATTGTCACCGCAATACCATTTATACGGAATAAGCAGGCAATGTTGATGCCTTAAGCTTTTAAAAATAAAAGCATAGTGTGAGTGCAAAGTGTTTGCTATTTTACATATACGTACGTTGAAGGGCTTCTCTATATCACAGCAAATACTGAAAACCCTTGGGGGGGGGGAAAGAAAAACAATATTAATCGTTAATACAGTCTTTATTTTCTAATGTAATATTTTTCAATAAAATCACCACATTCCGTGGGCGTGGTGGATTATCGACACGTATTGGCTTTGCAGAGACGGAACTCACCTTTGCAAGAAGCTACCAAGGATCTCGAACGTTTGCTCGTGAGGAGAGGCTTATATATACTTGGTGAGATGCTGTAGGCTGGGCCAACGGAATTACTTTCTACTGAGATATTGTGTTAAAAAAAGGCTGGGGTCATCAATTCCTGCGCTAGTAAAAAAAAATGCTACAACTCAGCGGTTTCTAAAAATATCCCCAAGCACCGCACGCCCATCGGCGCAGGCCGCCGCTCATGAGTCCGAATATATTTTATAGCTGTTCAGCTTCTATTTCTTTCAACATTAAATAAAATATTCAGAGGCGCAGCGTATTCAAACAGTTTTTTGGCGTGCAGACTTTTTGGACGTTTTGGAAACAGGTGTTGTACATATGGACTACCCGGCCAGTGGGGTTCTTTAACCAACAGTTGATAGAGGTGGCACTAACATTTACATTTTCACATGCACCATATCATACGAATATAAGACATATGCAATTGGTACCTAGTGCGACTACCTATTGACGCCGGTCATCCCAATCAAAGCGACATTCACAATAAAAAGCAAACGCAAATTACTTTGCAACCGTGAAGATATATTTATTGTTTTCCATCGTTACTTTTTGTTATTGTGCTCACTTACCAGTGCATTTACGTACATACACAAGAAGCAACGTTCGTTACAAACAAACACAAATAATAACAACAACCAAACAACAGCAACATGGAAAGTCCGAAATAATTATAACGGCAGCGTTCAAGAAGACATTGTGCATTCAGCTAAACATCGTCTCCAGAACAAACTCCTGATCCATTGCAACGGTAATTAGTTCTTGCAGCTGTTAGCTTGTCGCATCTTAAGAAGCGCGCCACGCGTGTACGTGCATGTGCGGTGTTGACCTCATTTGAGCCTCGAACACATGTTATGTACATACGAGGACCACCATGACTCCTACCGCCCTCAAGAAAAGCAACGGGAATTTCAGAGCAGTCCTCGCAGCGGTATGTATAGAAAAACCCAGATCATTCATGTGCACATTCGCCCCGCAAACTTATACCGCGGGTTTAAACAAAAATGGGAACCCGGCAACTTCTAATCTGTGTTTTATTGAGGCATTAACAGACCGAACGCTCTTAAACGACACAAGCCATGCATTTGACAATCAAACGTGCGGAAAACGGATTCTCAGAACCAATGTAGGGCAAGAGTTTGCGAGTTCCCAAAAATGCGAGTGTGTAAATCCAGGTGCTGAAAAAAAACTATAGAGAAGCCTTCATTTCACGTCTGTGCTGACTCGGGCATATTTATGGGTCACGTATACATGTTCATTTATCCTAAGGGGTTACGTTTCAATCCTTAGCCCGTCCCAACCACCCTTCCCTTGCGCACTCCTTTTACCACTGGCACTTGCACGCCTTATATGCAGGCTTTAAAAATAGGATAGAGCATAATTCACTCCTATATACCGGGACACTTAAGGCCACGCTTTTGAATTAACAATTATAGAGCACGGGCCTTTGCAAACGCACTGTTGGATGGAGGAGGTCTTTCCTCACGCCGTGTTTGAACGCAGGGGTTGTTTGACCAGGTTAGGGGGATTCCAAGACCGGTTCAGATATCGCTTGTCTCTCACCATTGCTCACTGTGGCTGAGAATAAAACTCAGGTCGAAGGGTTGAGAAGGTGCTGGGTCCACCACTTCACCCCACTCGTCAATCATTCACATTTTTTACGAACACCGTCATAAATATTCATATGAAATAAACATCTGAGGTGGCCGTGGTCATGGTTTCAGAGCGCTCGGTGGCACTGCTGAGATCGAAGGTTTGAATCCAAGCAGCGTGCGTAGTGGGTGGATGGTCTCAACCTGGTCACCAATTAAAGAACACCCTTCATGACGACAAATTTGGTTGTGTACTTAACTTGGCCAAATGCCAAATTAGGATTTAAAAATGTCAATTTGTCTGTCATGCGACAAACATTTGCTCTCGGTCTGTCTGAGTGCAGGTGTAAAGTAGTGCCCACTTAGTCTGTGGGACACACGTCACTTCAAGGGATCTCAGAGGTAGCTGTCATATCCACTTCTGTGGGCCATTACACTTCCCGACAAGATATCTGAAAGGACGCCTTGTTTCATGGCATGATGCCAATGGCTACAATCGGAATAAAACGACGCAAAAAAGAGACAAATTCTCACTTGGTAATAATCACCAATGCTATTGTTCCTGAACACAATGCCAAGAAAAAAATCCGACCACCGTAGGGACTCGTTGACTTAAGCCAGCGCACTGCTTGACCCACGACTAAACCACCCACAAGGGCATGCTCTGTTTAACTGCTATCAATTTCAGTGTCGAGTTCTTAGAGCCAGCTTTGGAAACATAATCTTAAAGTTATAAGCAGGTGGATTTCTTCTTTTGGAAACGGTCTATATTTGGTTTCCTTAGGCGGGTGAAGCCAGTCTACACGAGTATGCTTTCCATTGAACAAAGACTCAAACATGCCTCTTTTTTTAAGAAGAGGGTTTCCCCTTTCTGGCAATTAAACAGGTGTTAAGATGTTAAAACACCAAACTGAAACCTTTGGCAAGGAAGCATGTCTGCATTAACCACAGATACTTGTGGTGGAAATACAAAAAAAACATGCTCTGACAGTATGTGCATTGTCTTTGAAACGGATTGGTCCACACCAGAGACAGCTTTCTTTAGAGTCTCGTCTCAGTGTTAGACCAGAGGACTTCGCCAAAAGGCGAACAGCACAACGACAATGCCACTATTAGGACATTGAGAGCTCGGGGTGAGCAGCTACATCCTTTGCCAGTATCAAAATATAAGAATAGGTTTTCCCCTTTCTGGCAATAAAAACCTATTCTTATATTTTGATACTGGCAAAGGAGGCCCCATGATGCCTCTTTTTTGGTTATAAATTGTCAAATGTTCTTCAAATGTGCTTCATTACTGCACCACGTAAAATGTTCAGTACATTTTAGAAAGTAATATATATATACTGTATATACATATCAACTGTCGATTTGGTGGGGGTGTGAACGTCTGGCAGTGGTAGGACGTTTTCCGATTGTTTCAGAGGAGGTTCATGGTTAGAATCTGGCAGGTCTCCCTGGTTATTACTGGGTGGTGTCTTGACTACTAAATACTGCGCGCCGTCTGCTTCGTGTTTGTATTTCGAAGGTCCTCCCGCAACATTCAAAATGAGCAGGCCATTGTGTGCCAGCGTCATCATCAAAATTTTCCCAATTCGGAAAACTGATCTGCAAATTACTCGACTGGGTTGAAGAACATCGCCCCACTAACATGCAACAGATACAGACAATGTCCATGAAACACGATCGCCTTGTGGTGTGCAAAGGGCGCAAACATCAACGTGCTCAATGAACGGCTTTCTTAAAGTACAAAACGTTGTGCTTGGTGTACATTTGAAAACGTCACAATGTGGCTGATCTTGGTCGGTCTTGATTTGCCTTTGTACAAAAGTTTGGAAAGTTTTCACGAGAACCGAAAGTCCCCAGAGAAATAAGATTCGTGTTTGATGAGCAATAGGCGTTCTCATATGATGCCCGATATAATAATCCTGTTGGTAGAAAACAAACTGGCTGGTAGACACGTGACCCATTGCTGGACTCTTATTTACAGTATCTTGTAGATTATTCTGGAAGTTATTTGGTCATTCAGAAATGCATCTTCTCTAAAAAAAAAAAATCGAAACATTTTTATTTATTTTACCAGGTCAGGCCCACTCATCTATATATCTCTTTTTCAGAAGCGACCTGCCCACAAATAATAGTTCAACCAAGTGGCTTATCACGTGCACATTTATAGCAGCCAATAAACTCTGAACGCATGTTTTTTAACGTGGAGGGAAAAACCGGAAGACCCGGAGAAAAATCCACACGACCACGGAGAGAACATGCAAACTCCAAATATGCAGCTGAAAGGAAGGGTTGGGGATCGAACCCACGGCCTCCTGTATACCAGGCGAGGCAATTCACATTTCGCCACCGTGCCACCCACAGAATGCAATGAACCCCATTGCATCCTATTCACTTATGGACGATGGAAGACTTCTGGAGGAGGATCAATGGACGAATTCAACTATCTTCTGGAAGACGGTAAGTGGTGACTTGCAAGTGTGGTCAATTGGGGGGGGGGGGGGGGGGAGTAAGGCTGATGTGTAAGATCCACCACGTCCATACGACACGCTGTCCTATCGCGAGTATAGAGTACCGCAGTTCCTGCAGATTGACTCAACTGCACGGACAATGTTGCCTAACGAGGAGTCGTCGTGGGTAATCGAGCCGTAGATAAGTGATGTTCTCATGTCTTTCAGACACACACAACAGCAGGGGTGCATTTTCCAATATTTATTGACAGACTTTCAAAGGTGATACACACTTTTCCGTGGATAGGAGTTGAATCGCTTAGTCAATTTTATCCATCTCATGCTTGTATTTGACTGTTGACTATTGTGTTTTCTGTCCTAAATCCCACGGAGTGTCTTTAGGGATCTTCTGCTGGATAACCGCTATACTTTTTTTTCGATTTAAAGCTTTCGTGACTGCAGGGATTCATCTTCTTGGTTCTTTCGGTAAAGTCACGTAGAATGGAAATAATAAAATAATAAAAATAAAACATATAAAAAAATATAATATATATTTTTTATTATTTCCATTCTACGTGACTTTACCGAAAGAACCAAGAAGATGAACCGCTATACTCTTCTTTGGGTTTATTATGTTTACTTTATATAATTTCACTGTTCTTTGGTTCTTTCGGTTAAGTCACGTAGGTAGAATAATAATAGATCACGACGTTTCGATCGCAACACAAGCAATCGTCATCAGGTGGGACAACCACGGCAATAAAACAATGTCATTGGTTTGACAGTCAATGCCACGTGTTTACTGTAAAGTCCGTGAAGGTGTAACGGTTGCACAGTGGTTAGCCCACTGCGTTATAAACCCAGCGGCCTGCGTGTGATTCTCAACCATGGGAAACATCGGAACTTGCCCTGGGGCCTCCCCTTCAATAACCCACGTCGACCAGCATGGTGAAGTATACTCTTAGTTCTTTCGGAAAATCTGGCTGTGACGGTCCCACCT